TTTACCTTCAAGCTTTTAAGACCCCAGACACTATATCTTTTGATAGCCGGGCACCATCAGCTTTCTTCACCACATTTGCTTATTCACCCACTTTGTCTTATTGAGTCTCGCATGTTTTGTGATCTCCATTAATTTATTTGTGTGATCTTTGAGAGCTTTGAGCATATTGAAATTTGCTACTTAAAAACTATTTTTTCAATTCTCACTTCTATGTCTTATGCTGTTCTTTGAATTGAGCCAATTTTCATGCTTTCTTGTATGCCTTCCAATTTTTCGTTGTACCCAAAGCAATTGAATATTTTGTTGAGGAAATTTTGGATTTCAAATTTTTCTCATCCCCCAAAACTGATTTCTGCGTGGGCTTCTCCTCTCAACTGCTTCATTCCCACGGCAGTATTTGACTTGTTGCTTTTACATTTAGATTTGTTTTCAGGATTTCACATTTGTCTTTCTAGCTCCTGGTTGGTGCTATTTTGCTGTTTTCCCCCTATAGTTGTTGTGGGTGAATTGAGTTGAGACTCATTTCTGCTCACATTGTCATTTTGGGTGGTAAGATTTCAAGGTGTTCTTTCCAAGGTCTGTGTTCTCAGGCTTCTCGCCCTGTGAACTCTAGGTCTCACTGTGTGCCACCTCCTGGAATCCCCGCAGCCCCCAGGCTTGCACTGTCCCAAGAGTGCCTTTTTGGGTATTGTTTGGTTTTGGTTTTTGGCTTCCCTACCCACATGTGTGCACACTGCAGGCCTCGCTGCAGTCTTCACTAGTTGCCACCACTCCACGATGGCTGCGCTGTAAAGACGTGTGGATGAGGATGCTTTGTGACCTCCGCTCCTCTGCAGTCAGAATTTTACCTTTTACTTGTCTCGCTGTTCCCTCTGCTCCTCTGGTCTTGTATCTGATGTCTGGAGTTGTGTGACTGTCATTTGCTTATAAAAGGACTCGGCTGCTTCACCTCTACCTGATGATTGTGATTTAAATGAAGTTTACATAGCTTCTTGCCTATTAATAATGGCTCTTTGATTTTTCCTAGATCCTTCAAAAACAGCTTGATGATACCAAGGAGGGAGAAATGGCTCTCTTAAGCAAGCACAAGGAAGTGGAGAGTGAGCTGGCAGCTGCCAGAGAACGTCTGCAACAGCAGGCTTCCGACCTGGTCCTCAAGTCCAGTATGTCTGACACCGTCCGGTCCTTCCGCATCTTTTCTGCTTATTCTAAATGATTAGATTCCAAATATTTCCAAGGATTCTGCTTCTTTATTAATGATCATAATGCGCAAATAAATTAGGTTTTAGGAAGATTTTTAATAGAAAAAGTCAAACTCATTGCCATGGAGTTGATTTCAGTTCATCACAGACCTGCTAGGACTGAGGGGGGCTGCCTCCCTGGGTTTATGAGACGGTTTGTCTTTCAGGCAGTGGAAAGCCTCGTCTGTCTCCCTCAGATCCAAGGCTGCGCTTAGCAGCTAGCATATAAAGCTAGCAATAAATCAGTCACGATAAGAAAAATGAAGCCCTGTAACTGACTTTGTCTTTTAAAAGCATCGATTTCAAGCATTTAAATCAGGTAACTTAATGTAAATTATAGCATTTCATTTCATTGGACTGATTGGTTCTTAAGGCTATTTTTGCATGCCCAAACTAAGTTTCCTATCCTGATGTGACTGATGTGTTCATTGAAGTTTATCACACCTGGAATGTCTACTAGAGATATTAAAATGAGTAATTTCTTAAGAATTATAGGCCTACAATATAAAAGAAATTTTATGCAAAACAATGTACTGCTTTGGGTACAAAATTACTGACATAATTAGACCGCCAGGGAGGTTAATTATTCCTTACTAGCAGAAGTGTGTGACCCATATCAATTCTGAAATCACATTTTTGTCAAGTTCCTAGGGTGCCAGGTGAAGCTATTTAAACTGATTGCTTGCGAGTGTGTTATCCGCTTTTGATTGTCTTATCCGTGAATCCCAGATCCCCTTTCCCCTGGAGGGGATATCGTGTATCACCATGGTGGACAGGGTGTAGCACCTGGCAGTGGCAGTGTTTGTTCCACCTTGAATGGGTCGATAGGAGTTAGAAAATACTCAATGGTACCTAACAACAGCAGGAACAATAAAGTTGCTTCCAGAAACCCTGCTGGTACCTCAGGTTCCGAAGTTCAAGACCACCTGTGTCTGCTCCTACAAAGATTTACAGTGGTAGAAAGCTGTATTAGGACTTGAAATCAACTTCATGATAGTGGGTTTGGCCTATCGTTAGCGTTGTTGCTCAGTGCTATGGAGTCCGTTCACTCTTACGGCGCCCCACAGCGCTCCGCACACTCGGAGTGGGCCTGCTCCGGAGGACGTTCCGGACTGTGCCCTGATGGAAGCAGATCGCTGAGTCTGCTTTCTGACGCATATGTTGATGGATTCAAACCACCCACCTCTCAAAGAGCAGTTGAGCACCTAGCCATTCTCACCACCCAGGAACTTTCCTTCTCCCCACTGAAATTTTAGCTGCATCAGACTCACCTGGAGAGTATATAAAGTTAGATTGCTGGGCCCATTCTCAGAGTTTCTTATTCAGTAGTTCCAGGGTACATGAGATTTTGCATTTCTAACTACAGTTCCCAGGTGATTCCTGATGCTTCTAAATGAGGAGCCATATTTTGAGAACCACTGTCTTAAGCCATGCTTTCTCTAAAGCTTTTTCTCATATTTCTCATTTGTCTAAGTTTCTCTCTCTCTCTCTCCTCATTACCTTTTCCCACCCTCTTTTCCATTTGCTTTTGTTATGCATTTTATTCTTTCAGAACCTATTGGTTCTTAGTTGTCTCTTGCTCTTAATTTTCAGATCTCTTATCCCAAACAAATTCATTTTCAGTCACCTTTATCCCGTGCATACACAGTTCTTCTTTTGTGTTAGAAGTTGAAAACATGAGATTTGGAAAGAACAAAGTATCCATTTGACTCCATAGTCATTGATCAGTACTTTCTCTTTTACCTTGTTTTTCTTCTGGGAGACTTTTATACTACTCTGTTTCAACTTGTGTAGTAATCTTAGACAAAATGTTATGGTTATAGGCAGGAACAGACAAGATATAAAAACAGATTGATTTCAGTTTTTCTACTTTTGTTTGTAAGAAATAACCCCAGGGTAAGTTGTATTTTATGTGATGTGCATACCAAAAGGCCTGTTCATTCAGACCACATATTCTGCTAATTACTAAGTACAGTTGTGTTGTTAAATACAAATTATACTGTAATGCAATGCCTTTTTAAAATGAAGCCATTTTGTTTTGGGGGAGTAGGTCATATCGGAATGCTTCAAGCAACTCAAATGACCCAGGAGGTTACAATTAAAGACCTAGAATCAGAGAAATCGAGGACCAATGAGAGATTATCTCAGCTTGAAGAAGAAAGAGCTTTTTTGCAAAGCAAAACTCAGAGTCAGGACAAAGAGCAGAAGCAGCAGATTGTGGAACTGGAGAAGGTAAAAAGACATTCCTCCCCTTTGCCCCTGCCCCCTCCCCCAAAGAAAAGGAAAGGAAAGAAACTCAATCTCCCCCCACCCACCCCACCCAAACTCAGAGTGTTTGGTGCATTAGTGCCTACTCCTCGGTAATGGTGCACTTTTTACTGTCGTAGTTGATTTTTTTGTTTAAATCATTTTATTAGGGGCTCATACAACTCTCATCACAATCCATACAAACATCAATTGTGTAAAACACATTCGTATATTCATTGCCTTCATCATTCTCAAAACCTTTGCTCTCTAGTTAAGTCTCTGGATTTTTTTGTTTTTATTGTGAGACAAAAAAAGTGTAAAGCTGGTCTGTCATATAGATGGTGTATGTTCAAAATATATGAATAACAACTTTTAATATAAGAACTTAATATTACATGTGCACTTAGGACATTTATGAAACTGGAAGCGGTAAGTATTAGCTCTGAAAGTCCATGTGCCAATATTCAACTTTATACTCAAAAACAGAAAAAAACTCAAACTCACTGCCATAAAGTGGATTCTGACTCACACGGTAGAACTCCCCTCGTGGGTTTATGAGAATGTCACTCTCTGCAGGAGTAGAAAGCCTCCTCTTCTCCGGCAGAGCAACTAGTGGTTTCGAATTGCTGTCTTTGCCGTTAGCAACACAATGCATAATCCACGAAGCAACCAGGACTCCTTTTGACTTTATAGATCAAATAAATAAGACCTGTCATTTATAGAATAACTGCTGAGTAATTCCAATTTTTAAGAGGTCCACAGTACTGTGTGAAAGTTTGGCACGCTCTTTTTTCTTCTCACAACAAGCAAGTATATTGTAAAATGTCTAGCCCCTTTGTTCTTTGCTCGCCTCCCCTTTTACTCCTTATGTGGAGGGGCTATAGAATCTGTGTTTTCTCAGCCACAGGCGATACTCTGGTGGCTGGGTCGATGTCATTGTGGCACTTCTTTGCCATTGCCATTGAGTTGATCTGCACTCACAGTGACCCTGGAGGACAGGGTACAACTGCCCCTGTTGGGTTCCAACTGTAACCCTTTACAGTCGAGGGCCTCAGCTTTCTCTCGTGAGCATCCCAGTGAACAACCACTATGTCTCCATGGTACCTGCTACCCATTAATTCTGGAGTCTCTCTCTTCTCTTGTCTCCTCTAATACTTCAGGTTCACTTGCGACTTCCTCCTTTGTCTCTGGCATCACGTTTTGCTTTGTGAACATCCTTCCTCCAGCTGTGCCCTTGACCTTAGTGTACTCCAGGGCTTTGAACCAGGTTCATTCTGATTTGAGCCCCCTCCTGAGAATGTTCATTTCTGTGCTTGATATAGTGCATCAGAATCTGCATTTTTAAACAAGATCCCTTGGTGGTGACTATGTGCTAGGGGCTTCAAAACGTTTGTGGGGAAATAAGGAAAAACAGTGGAATTTTCCCATTAACTTTTGAAGTCTCCTTGTACAAGAATAAATCAAAAGGTCATACTACTAGGATTTCAGATCTTTGTGTGCAGATTTACTTCAAATAGGACACATTTAAGCATGTCTCTGCAATCGGTGTCACCATAGACAAGTTTTATTTATTTATTTACTTATTTATTTTTCAATCGTTTTATTAGGGGCTCATACAACTCTTATCACAATCCATACATACATCAATTGTGTAAAGCACATTTGTACATTCATTGCCCTCATCATT